TGTTATATATAATAATATTGTTTGAGACAGGGTCTCACCATGTAGTTCAGACTGGCCTTGAACTCACTATGGAGTTTGGGCTGGCTTCAAACTCAGAGTGATCCTCCTGCCTCAGCCTCCTAAATGCTGGGATTACAGGCCTCTATTGATAATGTTTTAAAGTGGTACTGGGTATTGAACCCAGGAACACTGTACCACAGCTACATGTGCTACATCAGTTCTTTTTTATTATTTCCCGTTTAATTTTGAGTCAAGTCCCTAATTTGCCTAGGCTGGGCTCCATCTGGTGATCCTCCTGTCTCAGCCTCTTGAGTAGCTTGGATTACAAATGTGCGTCACCACACTTCAACTTCCATTGCTATTATGTTTGCTAATTGCATACTAACACTCTCCTCCTTCAGTACTGGGGATTGAACTAGCTATTTATTTATTTATTGTGGTACTGGGGATTGAATTTAGAGCCTTTGCACTGAGCTACATCTTCAGCCCTTCTAAAAACTTTCTTTTGAGATAAGAGTCTTGCTAAATCGATAAGCTGCCCAAGCCAGGCTCAAACTTGTGATCCTCCTGCCTCAGCCTCCCAGAACATTGGAATTACAGGTGTGTACCACCATGCCCTGCTCACTGTCCAAATTCTTATCAAAATTCCTGTAGTAGCATACAGATGTGAAAAGTTTCCTCTTCAGCTGCATATATTGGGTAAGAAGTGACTATATACTGGAAATAATAGCCATTTATTATGTCAAATCAGGGTCTACTGGGACCAGTTGAGGAGAGCCCCAGCCAGCAGTATCCGCCTTTTCCTGGCCCTGCGCAGCAGGAGGAGCATCTTTGACAGTCTCGGCTGACTCCACCCGGGTTTAAGATGCGAAACTGCAGATAGAGGAGAGACGGACTCATCCTCAGGCTGCCCTTCCTTCCTTTCTAGTAGCAGATACTGACTAAGGAACGGCAGTACTACCCTGTGCCAGCCCTTTGTTAGGGGCTTAGGATCACCAAGGAAGGTGGCGGTGGTCTAACTGATTGGACACAGCTTTCTGTATCACCCGGAGACATGGGGTGCATTGAGAAGGGAGGATGGGGAATTTGTGGGGCCCTTGGGGGAGAAGCACGTGCAAAGGCCACGTGGGACACATTTGAGGAAATTGGAGAGGCCATCAGAGCATGGGTCAGTGAGGGTCACATCTCGCAGGACCCAGTTAAAATCTGTAACTTTATTGTTTTTTCTTCTGGCTAAAATCACAGTTCCTAGTTGCAGAGGTGCCATGCTGCAGGCTGGCTCATGCTAAGCATATTTTTTTTCCAGTGCTAATATTTTACCATATCCATTTATTTCCATCACTCAACAGTGCTGTGGGTTTTTAGTTTCTCAGCATGGCAGGAAACCCAGAAGCCATAATGGAAAAATCTGATAAATTTAACCACACAGATGAACTTCTGTAGGAAAAAAATAGCACAGAGTAAAAATGGAAAAAAGCTAAGACATTTATTTGCCACATGTACACCAAAGGCTAATGTTGTATTTGTATAAAAAACTCCTACAAATCAATAAGAAAAAAATTAATAAGAAATAAGTGATGACAAACTGATAGGAAAGGAAAAATAAGTGATCTGAAAGCATGATAAAGTGTTGGTCCTTACAAAGAAATGCAAATTGAAATGCCACCATTTTCCATCAGTCAGCTAGATAAAAAAGTCTGATAATATATGTAGTACTGGCAAAAGTGAGAGAAAGTGGAATTTCCTACCCAATTTATACCTTCTTCTGAGGGAAGTTTGGCAATACCTGTCAAAATTAAAAATTACATATCTAGGTAGAGCATTCTGTTTCTAGAAATTTGCATATATAAATGTGTGCTTGCTTCTTTCCCTCCCTCCCTCCCTCCCTTCCTCCCTCCCTTCCTAGTGTTCCCAAGGCCTTTGTGCAGAGCCATATCCCCAAACCTTTTATTATACAGTTTGAGACAGGGTCTTATTAAGTCATGGCGGGCTGGAACTTGGGATCCTCCTGCCTCAGTCTCCCAGAATGCTGGGCTTATAGGCGTGCACCACCACATGCAGCTAGCCTGCATTATTTGTAGTAACACTCTAGAATAATGTAAATAAATATCCTATTATGAGGATTAGATTATGGATGGTGTGTTCATACAATAGAATATTGTGTAGCCATTGAAAAGATGTAGTGATACACGAAGACCTGTTAGTTGTAGATCGGGAGAACCCCGTGTGTATGTCTTATTTCACACAGGTGGACATCAACTGAGAAGTGTGTGCACACACATGCATAAGCTTATTTATGCATAAGATAGTCCTTTTTTTACCTGAGTACTAGGAAATGAACCCAGGGCTGCTATAACGTTATGCTACATCCCCAGCCATTAAAAAAAAATATTTTTTTTGGTACCAGGGATTGAACTCGGGTCCTTGTGCTTGTGAGGCAGGTGGCGGAATCACTGAGCTAAATCCCTGGCCCACTAAAAAAATTTTTTCGAGACAAGGCCTCACTAAATTGCCCAGGCTGCTCTCGAATTTGGTAATCCTCCTGCTTCAGCTTCCTGTGCAGCTGGGATTACAGGTGTTTGCCACCACACCTGACACTTTTTTCCACCTGATACTGGGGATTGAAGCCAGGGCCTTGTGCATGCTAGGCAAGTGCTGTACTGCTGAGCTGCACTCCTGGCCCTGACATTTCCTAGTTTCAGACACTGCTCTAAGCGGAGTTACTGCTTCATGGTGGTGTGGGGAGGGAGTTGAATTGAACCTCACGCATGCTGTGCAGTACAAGTCCTCCACCTCTGCGCTACACCCCCAGCCCCTGTGGTTACTTCGATAAGTGCAGCTGAGCAGCTGAAGGGACCCAGACAGGGAAGCAGTGCTTGAAATACAGCAACTACTGAGCCTGTGGTATATCAGTTAATGCAGACTAAGGATGGGGCGAGGCGGGAGAGAGCTATGGTAGGGGTTCTTCACTTGTCTGGGCAGAGGACACAAACATTTCCTCCCTTCTATAACGGATAATTGTAAGCTGAAAGATTTTTTTTTTTTTTTTTTTTTTTGGTGGTATCTGGGATCGAACTCAGGACCTCGTGCTTGCAAGGCAGGCGGCGGTGCCGTTGAGCTAAATCCCTGGCTCTTAAGGATATTTTTGAAATGCTAGATGTCCATCCTTATGATTTAAAAATAATCAAAATCTTATCAGAATTATGAATGAGGTCTGTACCTGCAAATCATAAAAGCAGCTAAATAGCATAAGACAGGAAAAGCAAAAGGTCAAAAGTTGGAAACCATTGGCAGCCGTGAGACCTAACATAAGCTGTCATTGAGAATGGAATAAGTCCCCAGTTAATGCCTGAGTCAGGTGGAATTTCTTTTTAAATCTGTGTTCCACTTAGAAAAGATAAATCAACACACAAAGAATGACAAAGGGTAACTGTACTGTCTACCTAGGATGTACCAATAAATTAAATTAAAAAATGACAAAAGGTAAATCAGACAAACATCAGGAAAAGAATATTTGGGTGGAACAGATACCAGGCAAAATAATATCCAAAGGGGCTGGGGATGTAGCTCAGTGGTTCCGCCGCCTGCCTTGCAAGCACAAGGACCTGAGTTCAATCCCAGATACCGCAAAAAAAAAAAAAAAAAAAAAAAC